CTCTCTCTCTCTCTCTCTCTCTCTCTCTCTCTCTCTCTCTCTCGCGCTGTTTAGGCATGTTTTGTGCCATTGATTGTCATCGTCACCCTCAATAAAAAAAAAAAAAAATGTATTCATGCTAGGGTGTTGGCGGTGAATCCAGTGGAGAGAAACCCCCACAACTAACAAACTGGCATTCAGATCTGCTTCCATTTTGTTGGCAACACCCCAACTTCCAACGATCCAATCAATTCCCGACGGATTGTACGCGCTTGTACAGGTCTGGTATAAAGAATGTTTTTGCTCAGGTGGCCGAAATGTCCTCCCAATAGAGAAAAGATTTGCTCAGCAAGAAAAAAAATTAGAGGGAACATTGCCTCTGAACTGTCTGATATACGTTGCTTTGTACTAATGGCATGATAGGAAATCTCAGTATCACTTTGTGGTAAAAGGATATAAAATAAAACTATCAATAGAAAGAAGGAACTTTGGTGTACAACATTTGAATGCAAAAATAGTACAATCCAATGTTAGATGTGCATCAGGGAGCTTCATCAGCGGAGCACGAGATGCGGTCATGATGAAAGTGATGTTGTAGTTTAATGTTTTGTTAGTCTAGCCCACGAGATGCGCAGTTGCTGCGTTATTCATTCAAAATATTAGAGAAATATAGAAGCTCAATGTGGAGAAGATCTTGATTAGGTTAAAACCAAAACCAAGCCATTCACACAGAATGCATATTCAGCGCATTTTCCAGACCAGGGGTGGGCAAACTTGGCCCTTCCAGGCCACTTTCCTTCAGAGTTTAGCTCCAACCCTAATCAAACACACCTGAACCAGCTAATCATTGTCTTTAAGACTACTAGAAGGCTACAGGCAGGTGAGTTTTATCAGGGTTGGATCAAATCTCTGCAGGAAAGTGGCCTGGAAGGGCCAAATTTGCCCATCACTGTTCTAGACGGACAAATACGACCGCTGCAGGTTTATTCCTTTTCACTGCGTCTCATATGTTTTTAAATGCAGTCTGTGTGAATGGCGCTTCGGCTCTTTGTATTAAGCAATGCATAAATACGTGATGCTGTTTTGTTCATAATTGTTTATGCAATTTACGAAATTATATTTGATTTATATGAGTTAATTTAGACGTAATGCACGTTTTTTATAGACTGTTACTTCCTTGCATTGAACATTTAAAATATGCTGCATTATTTTGCTCATTGCACCTTCCTGTGGCCTCGGGAGACAAGCCAAAAGTTTAACCTATTTAATCTGCATATAAAACATTAAAAATTAGATGTTTAATTTTAATTTTGTTTTTGACTGTTAAAACAAAAATATTTGTTGTTTGTCTCAATAAATTGAGTTAATTTAAAAAAATACAGTGGTTAAATGTAAAAAAAAATTTCTATTGCTCTTTGTTTTAAAAAAGGTTATAAAAAATGTCAATAATTATCGATACAGAACGATATGACACATTATATCGTTGATAAATTTTTTAGCTATATCGCCCAGCCTTAATACAACCTGTAATTTAGAGCTAAAATGACTGAGAGAGAAACAAATTCCTGAATGTACCCTGAGATTAGTCTATTGCCTTTGACTTACTTCATTACAAAAGCACTTATTCACAGCTTTTCTCTAACAGGAGAGACATTCAGAATGAAACCTATAACCATCAAAGCACACTGGCCTTTCTAACAAATTCATTTGTTACATACTCTGTGTTTGAACAATAAGCCAACAGACATCACATTTGTAACCATGCTATGAAATTCATGGAATAAAGAACATGAGATATGTATATCTATGATAACAAAAAAACGGAAACATCTTGTAAAAGATTAGCCCTTCCCTGTAACCTGCAACTGACACACATCAGCAACACCATCTATTCTTCAAAAAAGCAGAAGATAAAAAAGGAAACAAGACATGGTTACCTCATCTAGAGGCGTGCCAGAGGCTGTTTGAGGAAATAGATATCTGCATGAAGCTTTGAGGTCATCCCTATGAGCTACAATACAAGACCAATTAAACTCCTCCAGTTGTGTTAAGTGTTTGCATTAGCTAACC